GGCACTAAAAATCCTTTTTTGACGAAACATGCCAGTATATGTTAGGGTAATAAGTGGAACGTTTCCGAAATTAAACTCCATCTGATATCGATCAAATGCGCAGTTATTTAAATTTTACAAAAGTACATCTTTTATTTTATTCCTAGTGCTACATGAAGACCTCCAATATAAAATCGGAAGGTTTCAAGTATACTCCTTACTGAACCGGAAACTTTAGTCATAAAACCAGATGAAGCCAAATGTAAAGAATCGCACCTTTTCCATATTTTACTTTCTACGTTTTTTGCCACAAAATATTTGATAAAATTGGTGATTTACCGCATCAAGATTTGTGGCGGTTAAGAAAAAGCATATATTTAACCACGCATGTTAAGGTTAAAAAATCATTTTATTAAATTTAATGCATATGGCTAGATACTTTTTTGTACAATTAATTTCCGCTTACGCGTAATTTAAAAACGCAACAGACAGATAATTAACGATGTTCCGAAATCTTAGCATATACTTTACTAGTCTTTGTTGCGTTGACAATCTCATTGGTAAATCTAAAAGATTTCAGGTATTGTTAAAAGACTTTACTAAATAGAGAACAGTGAGTTCGTTTCTTTCGAGCCACAATTGTATCCTTTATTCTCTGTTTAATCAAATAAACGGGTCGAAATTCTCCATTTTTATTTTAACGTTACCTTGGAGATAGGTTATATGTCTAGAAGATTGTCAGCTGTATATATAACTAACGTGGTTTCTTAAAAAGGTATCTTACTATGGAAAGTGCTTTAGTTCATTTTAGGCATAAAATGTTCGCCGTTCTATTATGGGCGTTGTTTTTTGCTCTACAAGAGTTTTTATTCTTAGCACGTTTATAAATGTTGTCCAAATGCCTTTCTGCAGATGAACTGCTACTCAATAATGTTCGTTTTTGGGAAATTATTTTAAGATGTATCCGAATTTAAATTTTTTGACATAAAAGTCGAACAGAACCTTTGTTTATTGAAGAACGCTTAGAAACACTGAAATCAGACGGCAATTTAGCGGAATATAAACGATGGTATGAAATTAATTTTTATCCATTTCTAAGAAGTATATAAAGTTTTTCGAGAGAAATGTTTCCTTGGTATAAATTGGGCCTAAATATAAATTATCACATAATAAATAATTTCATGGATAGGATATTTTCGCAAAACACGGTCATTTCTGCAAAAATTTAGTTTTTCTAAAGAGAAAATTAGAACATACTGCATTTATTTTAATGCGTAAATTCCCCTTAGGTTTTTCATCATTATTTCGTTAAGTTGTTAATGTCAGTTTGTAAGTGTGTTTGTCGGAGTTTCGTAAATTGCGGCGTACTACGGGATGTTTGGGCTCCACTGTACTATAAATGCAACACCAACCTGCGCTGTTGATATTGTCAACCGTAAATTAGTTAAACTTTCATTCGGCATATGCATCTCTGTCAAAACATACAACAGATTGCCAAATGGATAAAATCCAAGGATTTTTACAAGAAAATCCCTGCTACGTAAAAATAGGGCCAACCTACGTTACTTAAATTATTTATGTAAAAAGTAAGCAACCTAATAAAAGAGAATACATATCATGGTTTGTAAAGTAATATCATGTGGTGAAAAAAAGCTTTTTTTTATGAATAAGTCAAATTTTTGAAAAAAGTTCAAAATTGGGGCTTTTAGTAAACTTTAACTTTTAAAT